GGTGCAATTTTTCCTAGTTGTGATTGTTGTGCACCAGGGAGTGGGTAATGGAAAAGGTTTGCTGTTGTTTTGGGGGTGTATGGAGGAGTGGAAAGGTGGAGGCATCTGAGTTGCTGATAGTTGTAATCTCTTCTGAATGAGGTTTTGCTTATAATCAGGGATTAGTGGCTTTTAGGAATGAGACTGTTTGTTGTGCTGTGCTGTGGCTGCAATAAGGGTCTTTATTCCTTATTTGGGAGGGTGGAGGTTGTGCTCCTTGTGCTGACTGACACAGTAGTTGAAGTCACTGTGTTTCTCTCTTTTCCAAACAGGTAATGTGGCTCTTGATAATTTGCAGATAAAGGAGAACGCATTAGTAAGTATTCTGATAACTTCAGACTTGTTTGTGTGGCTGTAAACCTTAATTCATCAGAGGCAGTGTTGTTTCCTGTAGTCCACAAAAGGACCCACGGTGTCCTTTTTTATTGGTTGGGGGAAGTGAGTTCTTGGTTCACTGCTTCTAGTTTTGCTTGTGTTACTGGGACAGAGAAAGAAAAGCTGTGGTTGAAAAACAAGAAGTTACTTGCTTTAAGTACCCATATTCTGGTCTGGAAAAACAAATGTTAATTTGCATGTTAACTGAGCCAATGAACAGCTGTGTTATTGAGAGAGCCTCACTCCAGTGTTTTGAGTGGTTCAGACTGCACTAAAGTGAGCTGCTACAATTCTGTGAACTGCCAGCACGTTGTGTCTGCAGGACCTGAGCACTGGTTTCTCTTCCATGTTCTGCAGTTCCATATTTTGAAATACTTGCCCTTTTCGTCCATTCCTCGTAACTTTTTTTGTACTTTAAAGCTCTTGCTACAAATATCTTCAGAATCTGGTAGGTAAGGAAGGAAGTGCTGTGTGCTGTGTGCATGCCTTTCCTTCTTGCTGTGGCTGCTGAGGGTTCCAGCAGCTCTGACTTGGAGAAATGCAGAGTCATGTGTGGCTGAGCAGAGCTGAGAGTGGGCTAGGACAGGTGGAAGAACTAAAAGCAGAGCATGTTTGTGACTGCTTTGCGACTGCAGTGTGGTAGATCTCCATGCAAAAGGAGCTAAAGGAAGGTCAGTACTGAACAGCATTTTTAGAGAAGTAGCCACACCTTCAGGAACAACAGAGGATTAAAGGAATGTGATAAGGTCCCACTTTTTCTTGATTTTTTTTTTTCCCCCCCCTGGTTTGCCTGGTTGCTGCTGTCTGCATTGCTTTTGTTTTCCTCTTAAGGTTTTCCAACAGCAAAGAAGTAGCTTTTGGTTTCTGTATGTAGATGCAGTACTTTCAAATGTAAGAAAAGCCTCTAGGAAAAGGGAGATGAGGAAATACTTTTACTGCTCTTTTTTTCCGTAGTCAAAGAGCTTTTAATTAAAACAGAAGTTTGTGAGACCTCAGTCAAAGTGTGGGCTTCAGCTCATGCAGAGTCAGCTCAGTGGTGTTTTGGGCAGCTCTGTTCAATGTTTTAAGTTGTTCAAGAAGTGGTGGCAAAGGTTGTTTTCTAGTACATGGGAAGACAGAAGTGGTTAGAATCTGTCTCATCTGGAAAAATGGGTTTACTTTTTACAGTCATTGAGATCAAGACTTCTCCTTAGGTCTTGGAGTTGTGGTTAATATATTTGAAAAGAACACTTAAGTGGAAGACAGTTATGGTTCATGTATTAAATGTTTTTTAAATCTTACTTAGTTGCTTCTGCTTCCTCTTTACTTTGTCTCTCTTTATATTTCTGATATTCCCGTGGTTATATTCCTGGTTTTGCTTTACGCTGTGTAAGAGAGATATCCATGAGGTTTTAATAGATGGTCATACTTGTCACATGTTTCTTATCTTCATGAGCCTGTCTTGTTCTTGATGTTTGTCAGGTGTTTTGTAAGGAACTTCTCAGTTTTGTTAGTGAGACTTTGGATGTTTGTGTGTACTAAGTGCTGTTATCTAAAAGAAAAGACCTACATGGCAAACTAATAAAAATGTGAAATTAAATTCTTGTGTCTAGATAAAACTTTACTTTTTAGTAACCTTTGGAGTGAGGCATTGTCATACTTGTAGGAGGGAATTGCCAGAAATTTGTAACTGCTCTGTGCAAGCCCAAACATACTCATGGATCTGAGTTCCTGTGAGTGTTGCTGAATAATGAAATCTCAGCCATATGGAGAACTGTTTCTGTTCTGGAACTTCAGTTCTGGGACTATATTTTTAACAGAAGTTAATAATTCTGCTATGTAAACTAACTTATCTTTAGGATCCTGTTTAATGTGTTATTTTTTCATTTACAGAGTGAAGTGGATGTACCTTTTAGAGTAAAAGTTGGTCAGATAGGTAAGTTTTAGCTCCAGTGCAAGGACTGAAATGGAGATTTTCGTGCAGGCTGTCAGGTCAGTCCTGCCCCTGGAGTCATCATTTTATTAAGCTTTCTTTAGCATGATTGTGCTCAGTGTTGAAACGAGCACAGAGACTGAGCCTGACTGCCCTGGATGTTGTCTGCAAACCCTGCTTGGGTAGCCTCAGGGGCTGGTGTGAAAAGCATGTCTGAGAGGTTCTGCCTGGACACACCAGTGGTCAAGGGAACTGTTTGGTATCCACAGAGTCTGTGTGGCTCTTTAAAGGACTCATTAGGACTGTGAAGAATTTCAGTGAGATCCCTGAAACTGGCAAATATGCAAAAGGTTTGGGAACCCTTAGTTAGATGGACTTCTTCAGAGTTCCTTTCCCTGGTGATTAGCATTGCTTTTTCACATGGAACATCTATTGGAGATGCATGTGTGTTGTATTTCCTCTTCTGCTTCCCTGGGAAAATCACGTTGGTCCCAGTTAATTGGGCTCCAGTCATGATCTTGGGTTTTGATATGAACTAGTCTGACTCAGACTGCAACTTTTTGCTTAAAACTATGGCTTATGTTTGCTCTGCATGTCTGTTATCACTTCAAGGCCTTTATGAAATGTTTCGGCCCATATGGTGTGTCCTTACCCTCTGAGGGCTTTAGGACACCAAGATAAAGGGCTGATGCTCCTCAATGCCTGATGTGTTGTTTGGACTGAGCACAGTAGATTTTTGTTTTGCTGTAACTCTATCTGCTTTGTTTAGATAAACTGACTCTGAAGATTCCTTGGAAGAATCTCTATGGCGAGGCAGTTGTGGCAACTCTAGAAGGCTTGTATCTTCTGATAGTTCCTGGAACAAGTATGTAAAGTCCTCAGCAGCAGTTAGATAATGGAGAGAAAAAAATCTCAGGGTGCCCTGTAAATGAGAGTAGTTCATCTCAGTTGCCTTCATTGCGTTCTGTGCCCTCAGGGACATTTCTAGGCAAATGCTGGCAAGTCAGTAGAAGGGTAGAAGAACACAGCACCTCTTGCTTTTATGGAGCTCCTTGGCTGTCTCCATTCCAGGCTGAATTCAACAGCCAAGTTTCCTCTAAAATGTGCTTATCCTGAATCCAGTTTTCTGGCATGGTTCAGAACTTTGGCTGTTGCACGATAGAGTTTATCTGTTCCAACTGGCAGCAGCAGACAGTGGTAACTCCATTAGTACTGTTTTGGGGGAGAGGGAGGAGGCTTAGAGGACTTGATTAGTTTTCTCTGAAATCAGAACCTTTGGTATGTAGAGAAAACCTGCAGGTTTCTAGAGCATCAAATAAGTGTTCAGTAGAACTTACAAACCTGTTTTGTATTGCACAGGCCACACTAAGGGTCTGAATTTCCACAGAAAGTCTCTTGTGAAGTGATGCCTCATTATTGGGTGATCCTGTTGAGCCTTACTGGTTAAAAGTCAGAGTTTTGGGGGCTGTTGTGGTGATCAGCAGTGAAACCTGGCACAGCCTTGGACTCAAGCAGAGGGGTTTGCAACACAGTGTTGTATTGGTGTGCAGTGCTTGAAAGTGCATTTAAATGCCTTGAAATTTAGGGTTAAAGCTGTCCCAACCTGTCTTACAGGTGTTAAATATGATGCAGAGAAGGAAGAAAAGTACTTGCAGGATAACAAACAGAAGGAGCTGGCAAGAATCGAGGAAGCCTTGCAGAAAGCGGCGGAGAAAGGTACTGAGTCAGTAATGCAAATCTCCCCTGGAATTTGAGGACTTAGGCTGTGCTGTGAAAGAAAAGTCCTGATTTGTGATTGACTTCAGTTTTGGTTTTTCAAGTGACTAGCTAATCTTACCTCAGTGCTTTGAAAAGACTTTTTCCTCTGAAGCTTGAAAGAAATGTTCTTTCTGTGTCTGCCATTCACTTATCTGGTCAGCTTCCTGGGAAATGGGAATTTGATAATCTGCTTTGTCTTCTTGGTTCTTTTTTTTTCCCCCTAAAGAGGAACAGGAACAGGACCAACTGCAGCAAATACATTGCATGAGGCTGATGTTATCTTGCTTTAGGCTTCGATAATGGTGAACTGTGTGTTTAACTTGTGTTTTAGAGGTGCATGTTCTGTGCTGAAAGGAATCTTTAAGGGGCATGTAAAGTTGGACTCTGATCATGCTTTTGTTTCAGTTTCTGCTGTCCTTTTGTGAAGTGCTGAGTCTGGGTTGGTTTGAGACATGAGACTCTCTTGAGCAGGAAATAATTCACGACACAAGAAAACAATTGAACATAAGAAACTTTAAGTAAACATTTGCTCTAGGTCATAAAAAATGTTAAGCTCTCAAATACAGGTTAAAACAATTGATCATTTCAGCCCAGTTAACCTGATTTGTGGTGGTGCAGGTTTTTGTTTGTATTGTCATAACAAGTACCCTTGGTAAAATGAAGGTATAAGTTAGGCTTGTTTGGACAGAAGCCAAGCTCAGAACCAATGACAGGTAACTACATGTGTTGGAGGAAAAAGTTAGCACTGAAGTTTTGGTCTGAGGTGAGACCTGTTTGTTGGCTGGTACAATGGTCCTTAGGGTGCACTTCTAGGTTACCTGTAATGCTGCAAGTCATTTGCCTTGGAAAAGTTACTGAAAGTGAAATGATGCTCAGAACACTTGGAAAAGACAGTTTGATTGTCATGTCTTGCTTGCCCGTGTGGGTAATCTTTGAAACTGGATATTCTGAAGTGACTTTGACTGTCACATACTGCAGTGGAAATACTAATGAGCTGTACAAGTTTTGTGAACTTAGCATTAAATCAGGAGTTGATTTCCTTCTTTTAAACCAAGTGCATTTTTTCTGGTTCTTTGCTGCCGTGTGGACCAAGGCCTTCATTCACAAGGCTCCTTGCATGGGCTGGAGAGTCTGGTTTACAAGGACACCAAGCCTGGTGGGTATGCATGGTTAGTTACACTGTGCATGATGAATATGCAGTTCAGGTTTTGCAAAGCACCTGCTCCAAAGCAGCCAGATGTAGGAGTGAGAAAACAACCCTTGCTTCTCATGTGGATTCAAGTGGAGTCTTGGGACTAGTCCTCTTTTAATTGGCTCTTTGAGAAGATTTCCATCAGTTATGTGGAACTCAGGTATGTTATAGAGCAATGACAATATTTTACTGTAGTTTTTCAACACTGTCTGTAGCTGTTTTGAGAGTAGAGGGTAGTTACCCTCAAAGTGTCTGGGCTTAAGGTAATGGAAGTTCAGGCTGTCTTGAAGCCACAGGCAGACAGGTTGGAGGCCTGAGCTTGCTTTCCTCTGGTTCTGTTTGTTTGGATTGCCCTCAGATCAGGCAAGTAAACAGCTTCCACTGAAACTCAGAGGAGCTGTTGCTCTGTTGTGCCTGTTGTGTTTTTATCTTCTCAAAGGAGATTTTCAGAAGTTGACACTGAGCCAGACTTACTGAGTGGGCTTTTGTCTGAGCACATGTTTAGAATGAGCTGAAAAAACACACTTGGTTTCTCCATAGGAATGGGTGAGGGTAATCCAGAGGAAAATCACGTTGTCTTAGTTTTGTCCTACACGAGAGTGAGAGCCTGAGGCCTACAAATTGAGTAGTCAGTGAAGAAAGCTGTCCTGTTAAAACATCAGCTATAGAGGGTTACTTGTACTGTTAAGGAAACTGTGTAAAAGAGAACATTTCTATTTGCCATAGTTTTTTATTACCTGTAGAGTGATCACCTTACCTGCAAGACATGGAAATCTTGGCAGGCAGTTTCTCCTCCTTTGTTTGAACAGACCTGCAGGTTGCATCCACTGGTTCCCACAGCACACTGGTTTCTGTGCCTCCTTGTTACTTCAGTGGGTACACCCTTCTCATGCTACAGCCTCGTGAAGATAAGCACAGGCAGCTCAGTTATGAGCTCTTTGCCCCTGTGTGGCCAGAGAGAGGAAGGAAACAGTGCCCCTCACCAAACTGATTTTCTTTAGAATCGTGGCAAAACAGGAGCATTATTAATTAATGGAATGGCTGTGCTGGTGTGGCTCATAATTTGTGTGTAAATAATTTAATTAATGTAAAGCTTTTAGTCATCATTTTTTAATGCCTGTTCTGCAGTTGCTGCAATTGTTCTTTCTAATTGCTTTCCTACCATACTGTTGATCACCCTGAGAATCATATTGAAAAGTGATCTTTGGGTTTTCACATACGTCTCAAATATCTTAGCCTGAGAGTTATGTACCTGTATGGTAGAAGCCTCTTCTGAACTTGTGTGTTGTGCTGTGAGAAGTAGCTGATTGCTTGTTTAACAGATGTGAAATTCTTGTAAAGCCTTTAATGAGCCCTCCCTAAGGCACTGTGCTTTTAGACAAGCTAAACTTTCTCCCAGATTTTCTTATGCTTTCTTACATTTCTGCTTTACTAACTTGCATTTTATCCTTTTCCCAAAAAATTGCTTGCACTGAAAAAGGACGTAAGCGTAAAAAGTACAAAAAGCATTTTAAGAGACCCTTTAAAGGTCATGATCACTCAAAAGGTGGGTAACAGTTATGACTTTTAACATATTTTAAGGCTTCTTTTTGCTTTCTGTTTTGATTAGCTTTGTGTTGTCTTGGCTGTCCATCCAGTGATACCTTTTCTGTCCTGTTTGCACGAGAATATAAGTTAGAGAGAGGTTTTTTTTTGGTGTTTATCCATTCTGTAGCTGCAGTGAGACTGGAGAGGGTCCTTATTTCTCTGTACTTGGATAGTTGTGCCTGTTTCTTCAGCTTGAGCTGTCTGTGGCATCTCCAGCAGCAGTGCACACATTTGTTGGGCTGAGTGGTGGCACTTCACTGTGAGGCTCTGCACACAGCAGACACATCTGTTGGATTTTTGTCAGAGTCAGGCACAGGTAAAGCAGGTCTGATATTGCTGCCATGGCAGTGAACAGTGTTTTTCATCACCTTTTAGCTCAGTGTTCTCAATAGCTAATAGAGTGTCAGGCCATATTTTAACAGCCATGAACTGGAGTTTTTCCCCACGAGGACCATCACACTGCAGGTTGGCAGTGTGAGAGTGTGACTGAGTGGGTTGCCTTGTTCCATGTGGTTCTGTTGTTACACATTTGTTCTTGGGGGAAGCTGCAGCACATGTAGACTTGCAGCTGGAGAGAGAACTTTGTGGGGACTCAAGATAAGCTTTGGAAGGTATCAGACTGACAGTGCTGCTGGTAGCTGCATCTGTCTGGAAAATAATGGGCTGCCTGCTTGCACTTGAAGGCCATGAAGCTCTGATAAGGACTTTGCCTGTTTTTTTTAGTCAGTATTGTGTTGATTTCTGCTAATAGGGAGTGGGAGTTGTGAAGAAATAATTAGTAGGAGGCAATGTGAATTGTGTGTGAAAGTGACACCGTGTTTTAGTTTCTTCTGAATTCCTGGCTGATGTGTATTTAATTGAAATCAAATGCTCTCTTGGCTAAAATTGTGTAATATCATGTTCAGTAGCAAAGTCTTTTCGTGTTTAAACAGATTTCCTGAACCTCTCTCAAAGCCTTTAAAAAACCTGCCCCTGTTTTGTGGCCAGATGTCCCTGTAACGCAGCAGTGAGGGGTTGGCAGTAGCTCTCCTTGCCTTGGCGTGGGTACATTTGTTGGGGTGGGATGCTGAGCTGCTGTGGGTCTGCAGTTCCTGCTGCCCCACCTTGTGCTGCAGGAGTTGGAGTGTCCTGTGTGACATGGCCTGGGCTGGGATGGACCTACCTGAACTGGTCACAGTGTAAGTCCAGTGTGGAATATTTCAGAGTGGCTGTTGGTTGGCATTTGTGCTCCCCCAGCTCTTGAGCTTCCTCAGGCAGTGCTGTGTGAAAGGCTCTGATGAACCAACCTCTTGTGCAAGTACCTTCCTCACCTGGGGTACTTTGTGCTGAATTACACTCTGTCTTATTGGCATGTTGAAATCCCTAGTTAGTCACTTGGGGACTTTGAAGAGAGAACCTTTTACCTTGGCAAGAGTGGGGAGAAGTATATTGTTGTAAGCTAAACTGCTGTGGCTGAAACTTAGACATGTGTTTTCTCATGGTTGTGTTGTGCACAGGCAGCTAACATCACATCTTCAGCATATGGATGTGCAGAAAAGGAAAAAAATGCAAACATGGAATCTAAATGAATGAAAACTTAAATGTTAAGTTAGAATAAACATTAAATTTACTCTGCTGTAGCTGTTGGTGTGATTAAATTCGAGATGCAAATTACTCCACTGAGTGCTGACTCGTTAAAAATTCTTGTTCCAGACAAACCCAAGGAGGAGAAGAAGGATACTTTCCTAGAAAAGCTTGCAACTCAAGTTATAAAAAATGTGCAAGTCAAAATCACAGGCATTCATGTTAGATATGAAGACGATGTAAGTAACTGGAACATACTCTCTTCATTTTAAATTGGACTTCAAAGCAGTCCTGACTGTCTCTTCCACAGAGAGGAGCTGGTACCTGCCACCTTGGGAAAGTTGTGGTACTTTCTCCTGCACCTTTAGAAGTAAAGTCCCCCAGACATAGCTGAATGCCAGAAATATGGATATCTGAAATAGATATTTTTCTCTTTTCCCTTGTTCAGTGCTGCCTTGCTCACTGAGTGTGGGTGGTGGCAGTTCTCACATCTTACAAGTGTGTGCAGGAGATGTACAGAGTTTTCCAGTGTCCCTGGTAGAGTCCAGAATGGCAGAAACTGTTTGGTTAACAGATGAGGCTGAAGGCAAATTGTTGAAAACACTTAACTGATAAACGAGCATGTTCATAGGAACCAAACTGGTATTATTCTAGTCTAGCTCCAGCCTCCTTTAGGAAAATGATAAAGCAGTTTGTGGTGAGATAATTGAATGTAAAAGAAAGCATTGGATAACAAAGTGTCTCTCAAGCCCCTTCTGGGACTGTTTCCGAGGCAGTGAAGGTAAACCAGTCAGAGGACTGGAAGTCAGAGAACGATAGAGTGGACTGAGGTGTGGCACTCTGTAGTCCTTAGTTCTTTTCTGTATGAAAATGTTAGAAGCCAGAAGTGAATTTTCATTTTTGAATTGGAGTCCTAAGTCTTTACACGACAGCCAGAGCAGTTTTGGCCCATCTTAGGAGGTTCCAAGAAAGTTTCAGCTAGAGTAACTATATTCAGCACAGTTCAGGATTTCAGTCGACTTTAAATGATAGATCTGTTTGCAGCAAGGAACATAAATATCTGCTCTTTTTCTATTTCTGTAGGTCACAGACCCACAGTGTCCAATTTCCTTGGGGATGACATTGGGCGAGCTGAGCTTACTGGTAATGTGTGTGTGCTGATGTTTGCCACTTACTGCCTTGGGAGCAGCACAGAGGAAAAGTAACGTGTGAAGAAGATAAAGTAACAGTTTGTGCATGGAGCTGGAAGCAAAGACATGCAAATGTCTTTTATTCATACAAATAGTACTTGCAGTTTTTGCAAGCAGAAGGGGAGAGGATTGAGGAGCATCACACTTGCTGAGGCTGGTGATGTGTTCTAATGATCAGAATGATCTTTAAAACTCAATGTGCTTATTGCCATAAGGCAGGTTATTTCCAGGCCTAGTAAGTCAGGATTAGAGAACCATCAGGGTTGGAGGAGACCTCAAAGGTCATCAAGGCCAACCCTTAACCTGTCACTGCTGGAACCCCCAAACCCTAACCCAGATCCTCCAGTGCCACATCAGACACCTCTGAAACACCTCCAGGGATGGTGACTGCACCACCTCCCTGGGCAATATCCCAGGGCCTCAACACCACAACAGGGAAAACATTTCTCCTCACACCCAATCTGACTCTGCCCTGGCTCAGCTTATGACCAACATTCCATCATGATGATAAAGACGGTGATACTTGGTCAGGCCTTTTGAGAAATGGGGAGAGAGAAATCCAGCTAACCTCTGTTTGCCTTAGTTATTGAGGATTTTATGGGTAGGAGAAGACACATCTTTGTACTTTATTTTGAGTTGTGTGTATGCAGCCTAGAGAAACTGGCTCTTGTGATCAGGTAGCACCAAAATGGTGCATTTTTTGATTGCAAGTGTAGGATAAAACCACAAATATGTTAACCAAGATGCACAAAATTGCTTTTGTCACTTTAAACTTTTAGACAACGAACGAGAACTGGAAACCTTCTATTCTGAACGAAGCGGCAAAAATAATATACAAGGTAATGTGTTCTGGGTTTTTTTCCTACACAAGTCAGGAAAGCAATTATCTTGGAGAGTAGTAATTTGGGGTTCTAAGTAAAGTTGGAAAAGTAGTTTACCTCATGAATTCTGCTGGTTTTGTTAATGTATGTTTCAGCACAAGTAGAGCACTAATAACTAGTGTTATGTAAGGCCCAACTTTAGACTCCATGGTTTGAATCATTTCCCTGAGAAGTGAATGCTGATCCCTCATTGAATGCATTGCACAGCAAGTCTGCATGGAAACTGATTTCAAATATTGGTTTGTATGTTTTGTTTCCTGTGCAGCTTCTGTGCCTGGACAGCCTCAGTGCTTACTGGAACATACACAGTGAGATGTATTACCACGGCTCCCGTGAGCAAATACTGGTAAGGCAGGAGAAAATGCATTAAACTGTACTATTTTCTACAGCTCTCGTGGTACTCAGAACTGCTGCCCACTGATTTCCACCTCACTCCTCACACTTAGGGCCAGTTGTGATCCATTGCACTGTCCTTAGCTAATAACTTCTGGTGAAGTCTCAGTTTTAGCATATTTCTCAGGCTTCTTGGGCTGTCCAGTTGTTTTCCTGACTTTTTTTCTGCCTTTTAATTCCTCTGGTACCTGCAGGATACCGAAGGCTCAGGTGCTCTCCTTATGTGCTGAGATGAGGGAGTGCAGAGTGTGAATACTCTGCTGCCTACAAGGGGTTTAAAAACAAGTGCTTGCTCTGTTGTTCTGCGTGTCTGAATGTACATACGAGCTCTGTTTCTGAATTAGCACACACTTACTGCAAGATTTAGGAGTTGGATAAAAACTATACTAACATTCCACTTTATATGAGAAACTTAGAATTGCTTTCAATCTGGTGTGTTTAGGCCCTTCCCTCTGAAGTGCTCCAGCTAGGTTAGATTTCTCCTTAGGGTCAGGAGGCTCTTGCAAAATACATGTGACCTTAAGTTGGTTTACTCAGAGCTTAGAGAGCTGTAAAGAAGAAATGTTCAGCAGTTTTTGGACGCTGTCACATTCCTTTGCAGGATCAGCTGAAAAGAGGAATTCCATGTAGTGGTCACCAGCCTGAAGACTACCAGTACAGTAAGTAAGGAATGAGTACAGACTGCTCAAAGTGTGCTGGTGTACAGCAGCCTGACCTGGTTGTGCAGACATGCCCATACTAACTTGACAAAGCCCTAAACATACTGAAACATGTGAGGGCTCGTGGGCTTTTTGTCTTCTGTGGGGCTGTCTTCATTGGTGGGGGGAATTGCATCTGATTCTGTGGTTGTTGAGCAGACACATCACTACGAAGTGGTTGAGCTAACAGGCAGTGTAAATAAGTACCTCAAGATTGCTTCCCATACTTCGATTGTAAATGCAAAATCCATCTTGTTTTTTTTCTCTTGAAGTTTTCAGACCAGTGTCAGCCTCTGCAAGGCTGTACATCAACCCCTATGCGGAGGTAGAGCTGAAAACCCCCAAGTTTGATTGTAATGTGGAAGTACAGAGAATTGTCATTGAATTCACTAAGCCACAGGTTAGTTTGTTTGGGATTTTTATCACCTATTGCAGTTGGTGATGAACTGTAGGGTTTTTTTCATTGGAAAATGTTCTTTGGGTATTCTATGCTTATGTACAAGGAGAATGTCTAAACTGTGAACAGTTTAGTGTGTGTGAGTACCTGTGGGAAAAGGGTAGGATCCTTTCCCCTTTGTGTAACAGTCATTTCCTGGTACTCTGACAGTCTTAGCTGTGAACCCTCTGGGGACCACCTGCTCTGTGTTTAGCCCTCCCAGTAGCATTCCTTTCACACAGAGCATGGAATCATGAGTAGCCCTGATGCTATTAAACTCTGAGCAGTGTTATAACTGTAGAGATTCCAAACTACAAGCGAGGGTGGGGGTGGATGGAACATGCTGGGTTTGGCCACACAACCTGTTGAAGATCCAAGACCTGATTTAGGTAGCTCCCCAGTGATGTGACAGATCATTTACAGGTAGTTTGGCAGATAGCTTTTAGCTCTTCCTGATCTCAGAGTGGTACATGCTCATGGAAATGCATCTGCTTGACTTGCTGTGCAGCTGGAGGAATCCTGAGGATCAAGGCACACATGCAGTTTAAGCACTGTGTGCACAGAAAACCTGAACCACTGCTAATGGTTGTTCTCCTGTGTTTAGTACCTCAGCATGATAGACCTCCTGGAGTCCATAGATTACATGGTGCGCAATGTCCCGTACAGGAGATTCAGGCCGAGTGTGTGTCTCCATCAAAATGCCAGGCAGTGGTAAGCTGGGCACCTTCCTGCATTCTCTGGGAGGTGCTGGAGTCCTCTCCAGTCTCTTCATTCTCCTCGGTGGTGAAATGTAGTTGTGAAACTAGATTGCATGTGCCATTCTAACTTTCACAGTGCTTTGCTTAGCCAAGTGGAGGAGGCTGCAGGAGAGGCCACATGAAAGATCCAAGTGATGAAAGTCTCACTTGCTAAGCTAAAGTGCTCAAAATCTAAACAAAATGCTGATGCTCTCTCTGCAGGTTAGAATGGAATTTTGGAAAGACTAAAGAAAACAATTAGCAAATGTCACACAAGGGAAACATGTAGGTCAGCTGTAGTTTATAAAGCTTGGAACTGGCAGGCATTTTGTGGCTTTTCTCTAAGTCCTAAGTGATGCTGATTGTCAGCCTGTTTAAGTGTACTTAATGCAACTACAGCCCAAATTTGCATTCATGCAGAAGTCAGTAAAGAACGAAGATCTGTAGTTCTTCAGGTATCAAATGTAAACCCTCAGTCCATTTTTTGGAGATACTGTTGAAACCATGAAAATTTTTATAAGCCAAGTTACTCCAATCACAAGTGGGAAACGAAGTGTTTGCATGTTAATGAACTACGTCTGCAATTTGTTAGTTTTGATGCACAGATGAAGTGGGAAGTTGTTCACAAGTGTGGGATTCTTGCAGGTGGAAATATGCAGGTGACAGTGTTCTTGAAGTTCACATCAGGAGACATGCACGAATGTGGTCATGGAGTAACATAAAAGAACACAGGCAGGTCCTGAAGAGTTACAAAAACATGTACAAGAACAAGCTGACACAGAGCAAACTGTCAGAAGAAACACAGAGGCAAATTCAGGTATGAGTTTGTTCTCCTTGGGGAAACTATGTTTTGGTCCCTCTGTGAAATAAGTCTTTAAATACACTTAACTAATCCAGGCAGATGGTTTTGCAAGAGCACAAGAAGTTTATGCAAATACATTTTAATCAGAAGTTCAGTGTAAGGTGTTTTGGAAAGAAAGAAATAGAATTGTAGTAAAATGCCATTTAAATAAACACTCTTTGCCTGAGGATTGGATGAGCCTGGATGCATTTAATGCAGTGCAAGAGTGATCTGGTTTAGGAAAAAAATTAGCCTGCCTAACATCATATTTAGTCTTGAAGTGAAGTTCTTGGGGGGGGATATACCTGTGAAAGAAAGGAGCAGGTCTAGAAATTGGAGAGTAAATCCAAAGGAGCTAGCAGAGAATTTATAGTGGAGAGTCTTTCCTAAATGTGTTTGAGAGGCAATTGATTTAATCATACATTTTTACAGGACCTAGAAAGAAAACTCGATGTATTCAATACAGGATCTAGAAAGAAAACTCGATGTATTCAATATAGTCTTAGCAAGACAACAAGCACAAGTTGAGGTAAGACATCCTTTTGTTCTATAATATCGTGACACTTCAAATAGGATGGTTTTGTCATCATAGCTGCTTAAAAAATGGTGCTGATGAGCAGGATAAGATAGGCAGGTGGAAAGGCAAGTTTCCTGTCCTTCCAGGGCAAGGGGCAATCAATTTTCAGGCTGGAAAGCAATCCCAACTTGGAGAAGCTACTTGGAGTTACTCTGCTAACCTGAAAATTGACCTCCCTAATTGCATCATGTAATTGTTCAAGCCGATGTAGCCTCAGTGTTTGTCTGCACGTGTGGAATGTGTGCACTGCTAAGATGAAAAAATGATCATGTGTTCCTTATTTGAGGTGTTTGTGGTCAGAACTTGGTTTTTGAAACACAAAATAAAAGCCTGAGCACAAGTGAAAAAAATTTCAATGCCTTAAATTGTAAAAATGTAAAACTTTCAAAGCTTTCCAGTGGTACAGGATCAGACCTCAGGTTTGTTACTGCTGGATTTAAGGGGTGTAATTGCTTTTTGTGTTCTCTTCCATACTGTCTCTTTGTGTAGTTCTTGCCTTTATGTAGTCTGTGAAATGTGTAGAAAAAAATGCCCAAAAGACAAGTAACCTACATGTGTCTGTCTGAAAAGTCAACGTGCTCTTAATGCCTCGTGCTGTGGTGTTGCTGTGCATCAGTTCAGTGTGTGTTCAACTGCAAACAGACAGGCATTATGACTGTGGAAAAAATCCAATGGTAATTCTGTTAATTCTGTCTTCTGTCCAATGTGTTTTAATGTCTGGTTTGTAGACAATAAGATCAGGACAAAAATTGCTGAAGAAGAAAGCCTCTGAGGCAGAAAAAAAAGGTGGAGGATGGTTTGGTGGTTTCTGGGGTAAAAGAGAATCTAGGAAAAAAGAAGATGAAGAACCACTTGTTCCTGAAAGTAAGTGTGGATTGTAATGCACTAACTTCTGTAGAGACTTTTATACCCATTGGGAAGAAAGTTGGGGCCTGTTTTGCTTCCTTGATGCAGAAGGAGAGAACATGGTGTTTGTTCTGCTAAAGCTCCTCAAAGCTGTTTTCATCATTGGGAATTATGGGCACTCTTGCAATAAAACTTCTGTTGCCTTCTGTGCTGCAGAGGTAGCACCACAGATGAGGATTGCTCTGTGGAAATTGTTTTACCTCCTGGCCCTGAGTGTGAAATGAAGACTCAAGGAAATGTATTAGCAGAACTTGAGCACAGTAGAAAATCAGTGTGAGGGAAAGTGCTGATAGTGATTTATTGAAATGCAAGTTCTGTTGGTGTTTGGTTTTAGCTATTGATGAACTGATGACACCTGAGGAGAAAGCTAAGCTTTTCACTGCTATTGGCTACAGTGACAGTTCCCATCACCTTTCCTTGCCAAAGCAGGTAAGCAGCTTCTCATGGGGATGGTTATAAATGTGTGTCCTGCTGCTTAATAACAGCACATTTCAGTCAGAGTATTGTTTTTTCTACTGTACAAAAGAAAGCTTAAAATGAAAAAAAATCCAACCTGTGACATATCTTTTGGCAAAGGAATAAGAGCAAACTGCCAGCAAAAGAGAGATACAGCCCAAAGAGTGTCCAGTGCCTTTTTTAGTTTGTTTCACCTTTTCCTTGCTTACCTGTTTAGAAAAACTTCCTATTTTAATGTGGACAAATGAAGTGCAAAGGTGCTTTCATCTCTCTCAGGACCCTGAAGAGGCTGAGATAGGAAATAGTATATTTGTTTCTTCTGAAGTTTCTGGCTGTCACAGTCATAAAATGGTCCATATGGTGAGAGGCCAAAGCCCTTTCTTGCCAAGGCCAAGAAGTGACATTCAGCAGTCAGAACAGTCAAGGCAAGCTGTGTCCTCTGAGATGCAGCTGTTTCATGGGATGAGTGAGCTTTGGGTTGATCTAGCTGGTTCTCCACTGAACGTAGTTTAGCTGGGTGTGTCACAGTTAAAAACATTTCCTGCATCCTGCACAGAGGCACAGACTCTATTTGCTTTGCATTTGTTGAACTGCACTGTGTTTTTTTTAAAAAAATGAATGACAGGGGTTGGATAAAGTGAAGATTTTCTGCTTGTCTTCCTACATAGAGATATGTTTGTAATCTTAGTTGCCTGGAATAACTTGAAAAGCACATTTCAGTCTTTGTTGAAAGGAGGAGTTCTGAAAAGTTACTCGTGTTAAGATGACTAATTTCTGTTTCCTCTGTTCTCCTCACTAGTATGTTGCCCATGTCGTGACACTGAAGCTGTTAAGCACTTCTCTCATAATTAAAGAAGACAAGAATGCAGCAGAAACTCTGAAAGTGCAGATAATTGATCTGAGCACCAAAATATCACAGCGCCCAGGAGCACAAGCCATTAAGTAATGGGACTGGTATTCTCCTGTCGAAACATCTCCCCACACACTCCTTTTCTCTGCTTTCTGCAGTGTTTTTCTTGGGTGGTGCAATATGTCTTATTTTGAGTGCAAACTTGTGGGCGTTCTGTAATTGCACTCTGTTGTAAATCATAACCTGGTAAGAGACAGAGTGGAAAGAGGAAGGGGATATGGTTTGTTAGTTTTCATGGCCTGTAGCTCTTTGTTGAATCCGTGTCCAGGTGCTGGCTGTAGCTCTGGGAGGTGCTGGCTGTAGCTCTGGGAGGTGCTGGCTGAGCAGTGAGCAGTGCTGTGGCTGACACACTCCTGCCAAGCTGCTCAGGGTGCTGCTCACTGCCTGCAGCAGTGCCCAGGCACATCTGTGTGGGTGGGAGGTTAGTCAGCACACCAGGATCTGAGGCCTTCTGTGCTGGGACAGAGGGCACACCAGGAGCACTGAACGTGTCACACGTCAGTCCTGTGAAAATAGGCACGTTTGGCTGTATCAAAGGCTTTCTCATCTTGCTTGTCTCTCCTAGATACATTCATGTTTTTAACTATTTCTCTTCTTTAGGGTTGAAGCAAAGCTTGAGAACTGGTATGTTACAGGCCTGAGGCAAGAGAACGTTGTTCCATCTCTTGTGGCTTCCATAGGGGATAGCAAGTCTTCTCTGCTTCAGATAGAGTTTAATGTTAACCCAGAGGACAGTGCAGCTGACCAGAGCCTCACCATTGAGTCACAGCCTGTGGAAATAAAATACGATGCAGTGAGTAGCAACCCAAACTTTCAGCTATTTCTGAACCCTCTCTCTCTGCTGTTATTCTCTTTCTTCTGCCTACACGTATTTTTGGGTTTTTGCTGAGTGACTTCCACGTATATTGCTAATTCTTGCCCTTTTTCCTTTCCTTTTTTTGTCTTTCAAAGAGAACAATCAATGCAATGGTAGAATTCTTTCAGACAAGTAAGGGAATGGATCTGGAAAGATTAACATCAGCCACGTTAATGAAGCTGGAAGAAATCAAGGAAAGAACTGCTACAGGTGAGCTAATAACAGGTCTCACCTAAGGTGAGCCCTTGAGTGTGTTCAAATGTTTCAGTATGATTACCTAACACTGCTGAGGTTCTGAGTGCTGCCAAACAGGGTGACTGGGACTTCTCCTTGAGCTGGTTAGTTGGAGAATTAGTGTGTTTGGTTGGAAGGAGCATTGAGCTTAGTGTGGAGTGTTACAAAAGTAAGCCTTGACTCAAGGGGCCTTGTCTTTCAGACAGATGACAACTTTTTACCTGTTGAGTGGCACAGTTGTCTGAGGTGTGAGTAGCATCTCACGTTCCATGTGCTTTCCTTTTCATTAAGGATTGGCTCATATCATTGAAATGAGAAAAGTCCTTGACTTGAGGATTCATCTGAAACCTTCCTACCTAGTGATTCCTCAGACTGGTTTCTACCACGAAAATTCAGGTTTGCTGATTCTGGACTTCGGCACATTTCAGGTATGTCAGTGGCTCAAGGGGAGCAAATGTGCTGTTTCTGAACACAGCTGTCACCTGAGCTCTCTTGCTTTCAGCAGGCAAAGCTGATCACCCATGTCAATGTGTCCTTAACTGACTCTTTCTTAGCCAGTAAATTTGGGGCAGCAATTTGATCAATATTCAGAGTTGGTATTGGTTTTTACATACTTGTACTAGTTAATCCTCCCCAGGAAACATGTTCATGTTGTCATGATTGTAATAGCTTATTACTTAATATTGTTCATTCCTTCAGCTAAACACCTGAGCTTTCGATTCCTTAGCTATAAGGTGATACCCTTTTATTGATGAGAGATGGTCTGTTTTTCTCTTGGAGTTTGAAAGTTGATTCCATTCAGTCTATGAAGTTGAAAGATTGCAATAATTTAATTCAATTTAGCTGACTGATTAAATATTTATTTTAGTTGTATTCTATCAGTAAAATCATAAACCAATTCAAAAATTCTTTTTGCATAACTTGAATCAAATGTGTTACAAAAGTAATGAAAGAAATCTACTCATCAAGAATAAGGGAAGTGTGAAATGGTTTAGGTTATCTTCTCTGAGAGTCCAAATGTCAATCCTAAACTCCATTGAATCATCGTTCTCACCTTCACTGGAATGAACAGCACAGGTGCATGAGTTCTAGACTTAACTTGTCTTGTTCTCCTGTTTAGCTGAACAGCATAAATCAGGGCAGCAGCCAAGCTTCCAGCTCTGCATCTCTAGAGGAGATTATGGACAAGGCTTATGACAAGTTCGATGTGAAAATTAAAAATGTCCAACTTCTTTTTGGAAGAACAGGTAACAGAGCAACACGACTGCTCGTTAGTCAAAAGACATACCTGCCTGTGACAAATAAATATGTTTTTAAAGGAAAAAGACAAACCAAACCCAGTAGTTGAGACAGATTATACTTCACATGTCTGGAATTAAACTGTGGGAAGAACGGGTTAGTTTCTCTTCAAGCAGCTGCTTGATTTTTTGTTTGGACTTGTGCATCACCTCTTTACTTTGGTGCTAGCAACTAACATAAATGCATAGAACTATGATGTTTTCCATCATGTGCAGGAAAAAAGCAGCTTAAATTTGCCTTAATACTTCACTTGAGCCTAAGTTTGTGTAACCAGGAGAATGTGAGGTTACTGTGGTATCTTTTAGCTATGTATCTCTCTATCCTTCTGGTTTTTTTTTAGGGTTCTGTGTTTAGATCTATCTCTTAGTGTTGAATTGGGCTTAAGGCTTCTAAATGTTAAAGAGTATTAAAAGCTCTTAGATACTTGATTAACTTCATTTAGGTTTCTGCAGTTAGTAAGTGTTTTTTTTACTTCCCTAGTGATGCCATTTGACTATGTAAGGATACCTGGTTAAAGCAGTAAGCAAGGGATGTTTTCTCATGTACATTTTTGGCCTTTGTAGGTGAAGACTGGAAGAAGGCTCGTTTTCAGCATCCATCCCCTTTGCACGTCTTGCAGCCTATGGATATTCGCCTGCAGCTGGCAAAATCGATGGTGGAAAGAGACACCAGGATGCCAAGGTAATATACGAATGCTGAAAAGGCTCAGTTTTAGTTACTGTGTCCTTAGGGAAAAGAAAGCTCCATTTTCCATACAGGTTCAGTTGCACTTGATAATCTGAAGGTGTTGACTCAGAAACAGCAGTAGCTTGGCCCTCTTTATGAAACCTGGTTGGGCTAATAGTTCCCTGGTCACCTCTGCTGGTTACTAACTGCTGCTTTACCTGGGTCCAGGAGGGGTTTGAATGCAGATCAGTGTGCCCTGAGTTTTGTGTGTGAGTGTACATGTTGGTAAGGATTCAGTCAAGAATTGGTATGTGCTGTTTTGTCTTGGAGTTGACATCAATTTGTTTTTGAACACAAGGTTTAAAGTGTCAGGAGGACTTCCCCTGGTGCACGTCAGGCTGTCTGACCAGAAAATCAAGGCCATTTTTGATCTGATTGATAGCATTCCGCTGCCTCAGAGGTCCTCAGTGTCAGTTCCAAGCAGAAAGGTAAGCTGGTTGCAACTAGGAAAACAGAAAATAGCAATAAAAATGATACTGCTGGGCAAAGTGTCTTCATTATGGTTTAGCAGCAGGATGTGCTGGACTTACTCAAACAAGGCTTGTGTAGCCTTTGTCATTGTCCTGCTGCTTTAATCAGTGCAACTGGCAAAACTGACCTCTCCAAAGCACATGGGGGAGGCAAGGTGAATTGTGCAGAGGAAAACCAGAACATACCAAGTTACACCAACAGTCTGTTGGGTTTTTCTCTTCTCCCTCCCTCCAGGTCTCAGCTATTCCCACCATTCCTGATGGCAGTAAAGGGTTACTTAGTGCACCACAGTTGTTGGCAGAAATAGTTTCAGGTAAGAAGTTACAGATAGACCTTTGAAAGGCAGAGGGCCATAACTTAGGGAATGGCTAACATTTCCACACTGTTAGGGATGGCCAGACATCTAAGAGCAGTAGAGATGAGTGTGGTTCATTGTGTCTAACTTCAAGGGCACAAGGACATTTGATTGGGATACTGATGGTACCTCAGAGTAATAAACTTGCTTTCTCTGCAAAGCAAACCCAGCTCTTTTGGATAATTAATACTATGCAGAAGCAACCTCTTCAAGGGAAAGTAAACTATGCATTAGGCTGTTCTGGCTGTTCAGCATCAACAAAACTCTCCCTTTTCTGAAAAGGCAGAGCTAGAATAACAAATGGGAAGTGACTGTATTGACACTGTGGATTTGAACATTTATTTCCATGGCTGTTCTGGATAAAAACTCTCCTGTAGTGGAACTTGGGAACTTGTTTGTAACTGATTTTCCTTATGTGTGTTCTGGAATGCTTGATGCATCCAGACTCTAGTGCTGCCCTTACTAGGGCTGTAATGTTCTCTTTTCATCCGATGGGTAAGAGCAGGATAGACCTCAAGGATACTTTGTCAGCTTAGACTGAAACTGCTTGTGCAGTTGAAAAGTGCTGTTGGAATGAGAAAGAAAGAATGGGATATTTGCCCTTGTTTCTGGAAAAAGTTTGTTGAGCAGGTGATTTTGTTTCTTTAGACTCGGAAGAAGAATATTTTGATTTTGAGGAAAGCTCTGAACCAGCTGAGAGGTCACTAATGAAAGGAGAGGAACTAAGGGATGCGGAGCCTGCTCCAGAGGAACTGACAGATCTTCAGCTGAAGTTTGAAATTAAAGAGGTGTGTGATTCGAATTCCACCTTCTACATACAGAATATTTTGTAAACAAATCCAACACTCCTATACCAGAGTTCTCCAGATTGGTGGATGCAAAAATATAAACACCAAACAAAAACTTCACATACATAAACATACTCATAGTTATTTCTGTGTGTGAGTGGGTCATATGTGGTGTGCATAGGAGTTGTTTCTTACATATGTGATGCATATAAATAAAGCATAATACATATATACAAATGAAGTATGGATTAAAAAAGAAAACAAAGTCCATTTTTGGAATATTTTTGGTAGGAAAAAATAGTACTAAGTCATAATTGGGGGGTGGGAACTTTGCACCCAAGTGGGTGACTTGGAAAGAGCAAATCCCACAGTATTTTTTATATTGATATCTATCACAATCAATGACCTTTTTTTCTATTTTTAAGCTCTTCAGTCTGTAATAAAAAGAATACTTCCAGCAAAGCAGGGAAGACATTGACTTTGTGCCTTTTCTCGTGGTTGGTTTAAATGGTGAGAACACTATGTGTGAGAAGATGGTGTAGCTGTGTGTTTTGTGCTCTTCCAGGTTTTAGTAGAGCTCACCAGGCAAAACAAAACTGAGGAAACAGTACTTGTCTTTGATGTGATGCACCTTGGGACAGAAGCTACTGCCAGAACCTACAATTTATCAGCTGTATCTTACTTAAAGAAGATAAACTTGGACTACTATGAAACTGGAGGTAATAAGCAGTGGGGGAGAAGTATATTAATGTGTGTACATAGAGCAGTTAGTCTGACACTCCTGTTGTGCTCCCTGGGATGCACAGGTTGCTCTGGTGTCGCAGTTACAACACTCCATATGGAGCTGTCCCTTGGCAGTGCTTGGGCCCTTTGGCACAGCTGATAAGTTCTGGACTCTCACCCTTATTGAATCAATAAATAGCCTAGAGCTCAGTCTCTGGGTTGAGAAGGGAGTACAGATTTGCCATTTGGACTTAGCGTAGAGAAATCAGCGATTGATGCTTGGTGGTGCAATGTATTTTAACAAATGGCATTGAAAATGAGGCTCTGCTTTTCAGGCACAGATTCTTTGGTTCTCTGAAAGACAGAAATGACCCTAATTCTTGTTTGTTTTGTGTGCTATGTTAAAGGTAAAAAAACACCCATTCATCTCATTAGTTCCTCAGACAAACCTGGCTTGGACCTTCTGAAGGTGGAATATGTCAAGGTATACATAAAGCTTTTAAAATTTGTTTTTAAGGCACTTCTAAATATTCTTAATATCTGGCCTGTATATAGCCTTAAACCTACTGTTCAGAGCTGGTTGGATTGTTTTGTGTCCCCTGAAGAATACTGTAACTGGTTGAAATGAATATTACCTTCATGCAAATTTGTATTTTCAGGCTGACAGAAATGGGCCACAGTTTCAGACAACTTTTGACAGCACTGAACAGATGATTCAAGTGAGTGTTTGAAGATTTTATTGCGTATTTTCTTTGGGTTTGTTTGTTCAGAATGGAGGAATCATTCAGAGCTTTTTGGCTATCCTGTTTTCCTGCCCCCACAGCCTGGCAGCAGAGAGGCTGAGAGAGTAAAAATAGACATGAGGGTTTCCATGCAACAAGCAGTGTGTTAGTCTGTTCACTCCTGTGGGTAAAATTCAAACTGCTGTAAGGATGTGTCAGAAATCATGAAGTTCAGGTGCCCAGAACAGGAAACTGCAGTGGAGTTGGGAAGTCTTTCCTTTTCCTGTCAGATCATCTGCACTGGGAGTGCCACACCACCAGCACATTGTTGGCTAAATGTAATAACAAGTCTAAATCCATTGGAGTGATTCCCACCCCATCCCAGGGTGAGGGCAGAGGGACTCTGGAATATGCCTGAGGAGTTTCTTGTATGTTCCTTTCCTTTGCTTTTGTCATGGACTCTAGAATGAGAATTTGGTCTCTTAAAAATTATTGTCTTAGACAGCAAGTACCTAACTGCTTCAGTTCTGACTGTTGTACTAAGGATGTGTTTTTGAGTCAGAGATTTCCATCTAAGGAAACAGAGTGTCTTGAGGAATTCTGGAAATGAGGTGCCAAGGACTGTGTGTTATGTGATAGGTACATCCCTCTCTGTAGAACTTTGTGGCATGATCTGTCTGCCATATTTCGGTGTGAAGACTGAAATATTTCACTGCTCACCTAATAGTTTTAGAGCATCTATAGATTTCATCTGGGAAGTATAGTTAATCCTGGGACCTTCTTGCCAGAAAGCAGGGGATGGCAGTTGTACTACTCCGGAATGGACTGTCTTGGCCCTATGGGATAGTGCTCATATTAGGAGCACTCCATTTTCTGGACATTGTCAGGTGTTGCTGTTGCCTTGCAGCTCTTCAGTGGCACTTGTGTGTCTGGAAGAATTGCATTTGGGCTCTATTTCCAGAGCCAGGCCCATTTGAGTGGGTACATTTTGTTAAACTCTGTGTGTGCTAACTATCTCCATGTCTCTTAACACTGAGAGTGTTAACACGTGAGTTGTTGTTTTGTCCTAAGGAGTCTCATGTTTTCTCCAGGTCACTTTCTCCTCGTTGAACCTCCTGTTGCACACAGAGGCTCTAATGTCTGCTGTCAGTTTTCTGGCAGCTGTTGGTCCTTCAGGCCCCCAAAGCAGTGGAGACACATCAGCTGCAGAGCAGAGGCAAGAGGATGACACTGTAGTGAAGAAAGGTAGAGTTGTGATTATTGCCCAAATGATGGTTCTGAAAGTATCTGTTGCACACTGGCCAAAAAGTCAAACCCAGAGAGACACAATTAGCTTTGTGGTGTGGCCTAAAGATGAAAGCTCCTATGACTGTGGCTCACCAGGCTGCAGGAGTGACTCCAAAACACCAGGAGCTCAGTGTTGATGATCATAAATAGTATCTTCAGGTGAGATTTCTATTCATGTGGTTGTAGCCTTGTCACAGCTAGACTTGAATTGGAGTAGATGAGATTTCTGTGAGCTCAGAGGTGTTGGCTGCCTGGAGCAGCTGCCACCTTCTGCCATTTCTTATCAGCTTGAAGCTGAAATTTCCTACATGAGGATCCTGCAATAGGAAGTACAAGACAACCTGAAACCCCCCAACACTGCCCTGAATTTAAAACAAGTCACACTGTTCCAGCTGGGAGTCAGTGCTAGGTGGGAGTGATATCAGACACAGGGTCACAAGGAAATGCTGATGTTTTACTCATGTCAGAGTTGCTTTCTGAGGAAGATGTTTTGCTCTAAGATGGGATTTACACACCATCAAGCCAGGGAAAGGAGCAAAACTAAGTCATCTGAATGTCAAAAAGGTCCCTAGACCAGAACAACCACCAGGTATACTCAGGAGTTGAAGTGAAAATATTACTTAGAGGTCCTGTCTCTCATTTCTAGTGACTAGACCTTCCAAGGACAAGGATGTATTTGACTTCAAGGTCTTTGCCAAGCTGGATGCTTTCTGCTTGAATATCTGTGATGAGAAAAAGAACATTGCAGAGATCAAGATACAAGGTATGAAATCCTTTGAGTAGCAACTGTTCTAGTAGTTTAGCTTCAGAGCAACTGCTAGTAATTGGGCTAAAAGATATTTAAGGCATAAATTTGCAGTATCTGACTTTTTTTTACTGATTTCATTGCTCTCTGCACGAGGATGGCTTTATAGTCTCTATTTCAGAGTCACCACCTAGTCTGTCACAATGTTTTGGCCTCCAGCTAGCAAAATGTGCTATATTACCACTGAGGTAATTAGGTTTGTGCTCTGAAGGAGTTTGTTTGTGGTGGCTTTTCATATTGTGCTAAACTTTGGGTATTGTTCTGGCATACCTGAATTATTTAGGATTAAAAAAAACCCTTAAAATTGTTTTCTTTGGTTTTTAACCCCTAGGGTTTGTTTGGGTTTCATCTTTTGGTTTTTTTCTGGATTTTTGTTATTATTATTTTTTTTACCCCTCAGAGGGACTGTCAGTGATTCTTAGGGGTGACAGGGTGGGGAGTTCCACTCCAGGTTGAGCTGTCAGTGCTATCCTAACAGCTGCCCAGGCTCTCTCTTGGGAGTGTTGCAGAGTGTGTGATACACAGGATTGTATAGTGCAGGCCCTGAAGTCTTTGGCTTGTGCCTGTCTCTGGGTCCTGTGATGTGTTCACACAAGGCTTTGGATGCTCAAGTGTTGCACTGAAATACAGCACAGTAACATCTTTCCTGATAGAAAATCTCAATAGCCTCACTCAGTAGTTTGTTATTAAGAAATGGAGTATTGATAGATTATTTTTGTATAAGTAGTAGCTCAGTTCTCTTCAGAAGTGACTGATGTTGAGACAGTGTCTGCATTGGAAATTTTTCTGTTGTGCTTTGTTCAAAGCTGTAGTGTGGTCACATTTTCAAAGCTCAGTAACTCTTCCTGGTGTCATATGTCCCACCCTGAAAATCACTGCTCATTCTGCTGTGCAACACTAGTGTTTGTATTTTTGTACTTTGCAGGTCTTGACTCCTCTCTTTGCCTTCAGCCAAGTGTCACTGTGTTCTTTGCCCGACTTAAAGACATCGTTGTCACAGATGTTGATCCAAGGACCCTTCACAAAAAAGTACTCAGCTACAAGATTTTAAGTTTTACTTGATTGTTGGTTACTTTTGTGTGCATAGAAGTGAAATGTGATGCACATTCCACCCTTTTTAAATCATTTGATTCGTTGTAACATGTCTTTGCAGATAAGATACATGGTAAGGAATGGTTTCCATATTTCAAGAATGGGTGTGTAAAGGGATTTGAAAAAGCAGTGCTCTGACTTGTGCCTCTGACAGGCTGATGGTCTGTGTAGCTCTTTGTGTGAGGTACCTTTTCAGAAGCTGCTGATGCTGTAGGTGCTGCTTCTCTCTTTCTAGGCTGTGTCGATTGTAGGAGATGAAGTTTTCAGTTTCACTCTGACACTAAATCCTCATGCTACTGAGGGAGAAGCCTACACTGACATGTCAAAAGTGGATGGTGCTGTGTCTTTGAAAGTGGGCTGTATTCAGATAGTATTCCTTCACAAGTTCCTCGTGGCTCTTCTGGTAAGTCTTATTTCCCTTGTACATTTCTGCATGTTTGTGCCCTCAATACAAGTGGTGCCTTCAGTTTCTGAAGGAGAAAGGAAAGGCTTCACTTTTCATGTGTGCTGTTAAAAATCCTTGGTAAGGAAGCTGTAACTGATTGCCATTTCAAAAAACTCACTCCGTGCACGTGGGTCACTTCCCACCCTCAGCTTTGGAAGCAGACAAATCTTGGTGCTGTTAAGGTAGTTGGGGGTTTGTGTTTGCTTCTCTCTCCACCCTGGCAAAATCCTGAGGTGATTGCAAACGCATCCGAGCTAACTCGAGAGGCAAATTTTTCTGCAAGGTTCTAACAACACCTGCACATCAATCAGTGTCAATATCTGCACGTTGAAGTCCCCTAACTTTGGCTTTTGGGATGAAGCACCACTGGGCTCTGTCCTTCAGTGCTGTCTGGGGCAGGAACTAGTCTGCCCTGAGGGCAGGAGAGGCTTTCAAATTCTGTGTGTCCCCAGCAGCTAATGAGCTCAGGGAGCCTGTAGCTAACGAAGGAAGCAGAAGTAGAGATGGGTTTAAATGAAGTGGGTTAGTTAGTGCTTTTTTGACCCTCTCGTAGAAGTGGTGACAGAAGGCACTGAGTGGTCTTTCCCCCTGGAAAATCCAACACAGTAGGCAGCAGAATTGGTGATTGGCATTGGTTGTGAGTGATGTAAGATGAGAAGGTCATCTAGATGAAAAAAATGTTTACATTTCTCTTCAATGGCTTTTTCTAGACCTTCTTGAACAACTTCCAGACAGCTAAGGAGGCCCTGAGTGCCGCTACAGTCCAGGCTGCAGAGAAGGCTGCGACCAGCGTGAAAGACCTGGCTCAGAGGAGCTTTCGACTTGCCATGGACATTCACTTGAAAGCACCAGTGCTAGTCATTCCCCAGTCCTCAGTTTCCCCCAATGTGATAGTGATAGATCTTGGCTTGATTAGGGTTCAGAACCAGTTCAGCCTGGTGTCCCCAGAGGTTCACTCGTTCGACTCACTCCCTCCAGTCATTGACAAAATGGATGTGCAGCTGACAGAGCTGAAGCTGTCCAGGTACAGTGCACTTTATTAAGTAATGCCTCAGCTAATTGGTGCTATTAGTGCTCTGCAGGATGTTAACTGACTTGCTTAGAAACCGTGTCTGGTGATAGTGGCAAATCTGTGGTGTTAAAATCCTAACCTGTTATTGTAAGAGCAGTGAAGTCAGTAATAAAATAGGGAACTGTTCTGCTCAGGGAACTGTTCAAGGTCAGAGAGGTATTACACTGGAGATTTTAAGGTTTTACTTTGGAAATCTAACACATGACTCAAATTCTAACATTCCAGCTGTGTGTTTGTTGGTTTTTTTTCCCCCCGGTGCTTCAAGGACCACGATGGAGACAGATTTGTCAGAGGCAGATATTGGGATCCTTCACCCTATTAATTTCAGCCTGTGTGTGAAACGGAACCTCTCTGCAGCTTGGTTCCACGAGGTGCCTGGGCTGGAGCTCACGGGGTACCTGGAGACAGTCAATGTAAGTTTGTGAGAAGGTGCTGAGAATCATAGAACCATAGAATTTAAGGGCTGAAATGGACCTCACAGACCATCTAGTCCCAACCCCTGCCCTGCCCAGGGACACCTCCTCACTAGATCAGATTGCTCAAGGTTCATCCAACCTGGCTCTGAACACTGCCAGGGCTGGGGCAGCCACAGCCTCCCTGGGCACCCTGGGACAGGGTCTCACCACCCTCAGCTTGGGATAACACCTCATGTGAGACTAACCAACCCTCATGTTATTTCAGGACACAAAGGGGCAACAAGCTGCAAATTCCTAGGAGGTGTGCAGTGAGTTTCAGCTGTGGAACAGGATGGAACCCCACAGATATAAATGTAGAGATTTGAAAACATCATACATAGAACACACAAACTGCTGTGTACATACACTGAGAGGAAAAAATAGAATGAGATTTTTTTTTTGCTTTAAAAATGGAATCTTCTTGAGGGAGATTTAAATTTATTAAATTTTTGCCTTAACTCCAGCTCCATCCCTTTCCATCACCCTTGAATGGCTTCAAAATAGTTGTGTTCTGTGGTGTTTTAGGTACTATGCAGTAACAGGTCACCTTGGGTGCAAAAGCAATTAAAATTTCATGTAGTAGTAAGTTATTGTCAGGAAAGTCTTAAAAGCATTGGTAGCTTAAATGAAGGCTGCAATGTGTATTGGTGTACTTTGGGAGTCATAACCTCTAATGGCCTAAGGCTTTAACGAGGAGTGCTGGAAGGAATTTAATTGTGTTATTCAGGGGATGATTCTGCTGACAAAACACCTGTAAATCAACACTTCTTGCCAGGAAATGTTCTGCTTTGTTAGCAGGTGGTAAGTTTAAGGAACAACAATGCATTTTTCCTGAGAACTGTGATGTGCAATTTTTTTTAGGTTGTGTTAAGTCAAGAGGATTTGAATATCTTTCTCAAAGTGTTGGTGGAAAACCTTGGTGAAGCAGAAGAAAAACAAACTGATGCAAAATCATTACTGCAGAAGGAAGGTCAGAGATGGGATTGGTCATGAATGCTAAGTGTGTTAGCTTTCAGGAGTGAGGAAAAGCATTTGTTACCTGGGAAGCAAGTCTAGATTTGAGGATATGGTGTGTGAGTCATAAACTCTAAGTTTGCAAGGATAGTGTTCATACTTTGGTACTGCAAAAAAGTAAGTTTGCAAGGACAGTGTTCATACTTTGGTACTGCAAAAAACCTGGAAATAGTACAGGACAAAAGTGCTAATTGTTAGCTAAATTGTCAAGGAACAAGGAAGGTATTGTAAGGTCAGAGTCATCTTGTTGACAGAACATGTTTCCATTTCCTTTTCATGTTCAAAAGTTAAAGGCTGTGTGTGGAAATGCTGCTAACTTACCTTAGGTGAATGTAAGTCATCTAAAGAATAAAGAATTGGATGTGTTCCTTGAGCTGAACAAATGGTGCAATCTGAGAAGCTAACCAATTTATTGAATGTTTCAGGTCAAACCAAAGACACTGAGAGATCAGTTCTGGCACAGGATAAGTGTGTTCCAGAAGGAATTCTGTCTGAAAAGAGAAAAAAACCACTCAGTGAGGATGTAATCAATATGCTCCTTAATTTTGAAATCAAGGAGGTAATTATCCATCTGTGCAGCTCCCTGTTGCTGAGCTCAGTGCTCAAGTCTGTCCCTTAGGAGCAGTGGCTGTGGAGTCCATTTATTTTCACAGTTTAACTTAAGAGCAAAGAGAGAACAAACCCAGAGCCCAAAGTGTTCATGTGTTTCTGCAGCTGTTCCCATTGGTCTCAGTACAGGTGTGAGGTTGTGTTTGTGCAGTATCTGACAGGGAAATCCAGACTTCTTTTCATGTTCTGCACTCCCCTGGCCTGAATTCTTCGTAGTGCTGCGTGGGATTCACTGGGCAGCAAACAGCTGAAATAGCTCAGCTGCAACTAGAACGTTTCCCCCAGGGATACTGAGACTGAAGGTTAGGTTGAAAGTGAAGTACTGGGAAAATAAACAGAAGTTTTTTTCATGTTTTTGAAATTCCAATCAGTGTAATGCTTAAAATAACTTGTCTGTGTACTTAAATGTTTGCACAGCATCAGTATTTCAGAGATGGATTCACGTTGCTCTCTGTTCCCTCCTGCCCTTCCTTGCACACAGGTGTGATCTGTAGGAACTGTTGTTTCCATGCTGGGACTCTGTGTGTAGCACTGGTTGCCAAACTAAAGCACAGCTTGACAAGGCCAAGATACACTGCTTGGCCAACAAAAGGTCATTCTGGCCAAAGTTACAGACTTGCAGGTTTTGTTCTGTTTCCCAAGGAGTTAAGAAGTGCCTGGTTGGTTGGCCAAGAGGAACAGAGCAGGGCTGAGGGAAATCTTTAGCCAGCTGATCTTGTAAGGTCTGAAGATCACTTTTCAAGTGTAGCTGAGGAGGCAATGCCTGTTATAACTGTGTGCCAGACCTGGAAAGCCTGACTGGAACAGTGAACTGATTTCCCTTTCCATGTTCCAGGTTTCAGTAACCTTGGTGAAGCAGGTTCAGAAGAAGAGAGATCCATTGCATGTTCTAACTGTGCTCCAGCTTGGAACCCAAACCACAGTTAGAAATCATGTACTGTCTGCAGCAGCATATCTGAAAAAAATTACTCTGAGATGCCTTGAAATAAATGGTGAGTCTTCTAGCAAACTGCTGCACAGTTAGCAGAGTGTGCAATCAGTTCTGCAGCAGGAGCACAGAGTGCTCAAACCAGTGACTCGAGGGGCTAAAGAAGGGCAGGAGGTCACAGGCCAATTCTCCTAGTGATGATGTTCAGTGCAGTTTAGATGGAATGGATCTGTTTTCTGTGACACCAAGTTTGGCTCCTGGTGCCAGAGTTAGCTGGAGTTAATGGATTTGAGGGAGTTGCCTACTTTGAGTAGGAACGGTCGTTTCTGAGCGGTATCTGTGCAGTGTGTTGGGATGGGCTGTGAGAAGTATCTGTGCAGTGTGTTGGGATGGGCTGCTGATTCTGCTTTGTGACCAGCTCCAGCAGCACTGGGAAGGCAGAGTTCACTTTTACTAGTTTTATATGAAACAAGGTCAATGCAGCATTTCACAAGGTGATGCTCAGTCTGTAGTTTCTCAGTGCAAACAGATGTTTCTTTGATTTTTTTCAGCAAGAGCAGTGTATAATCAGTATGTGACTGAGAATGGGCATGGAGATGGGAGGTGGAGTGAAGCTTGTAAGTGGTGGAGATACTTGACATTTTTCTTTCTTCCTTTGCAGACTCCAAAGGAGATCCTCTTTACATTGTTAATTCTTCAAGTGAGACAGATGAACATCTTCTGAAAATGGAATACATTAAGGTTTCAGTGCATTTTCACCAAGGTTACACAGGGAGTAAAATAAAGCTTCCATCCTTAGCCTGCAGGATTTGTACCTTAAACTTACCTAGGCCTTTTCCCAAACACCTATTTTTTCATCTTAACATTTCATTTCATTCCCCACTGCTTCCATGCAGTGCTTGTTTCCTAGGTCAGTGCAAAGACTGACATGACTGGCCAAGGGCAGTGTTTGTGCTGCCTCTCTTTGAGCAGCACAGAGCAGCACCTTGGTGCAGTTCAATAGGTGAGATGGTCTTGGCCTGTGTGAGTGCTGAGTGACACTGCTCAAGGGGCAGAGCTGCATTTTAGGAGTGGGATGTTGGTAGCTCGAGCTCTTGAGCTTTTCTTTTAGAAGCAAAGTGCCCTTCCAAAGCTGCACAAACACTTGGAGTCTGACAGGCTGTGGAACCAGTGAGCTGCTCGTCACTCTTAGCTGTAATGGCATCGTTCACAGAGAGAGAAGTGGATTTGTTCTGACAAAGTGTTTAGCATACATTGGTCCAGTCTAAATCCATTGGGGTCAGAGAAAATGTTGTCACTGGCCAGTTGAACTTTGACCAAACATGTGTTGTGAAGTGTCACTGAGCAGAGTGGTGTGAGCACCCGGTGGTTCCATGCTCGTGTCAGAGAACTTGGCTGCTCAGACTTCATCACTTGCCTTTGTTTGCTTTTTCAGTTGGAATAATCCTTGTGTGTGTGTGGTGAATTCAAGTAGTTCAGTTAAAATCATTAATGACTCTCAGTAATTACTGGTTTATTCAATAGGAGCTGACTGTGTCTTCTTTTCCTGCAGGCTGATGCTGATGGACCAGAGTTTGTTACTACTTACAAAAGCACCAAGCAAAACATCAATGTAAGTACTGGATGTATTTAATTCTTACCAAGCTTCTCCAATGGTTACAGCTCTGTTAGTTGCTCACTTGTTCTCCTCTCACTGAAGAGAAAAAAGGTAGCAAAACCAACCTGAGAACCAAACTCTTTCTTCATTAGAAACTACTGCTTTATATTAAACTACTTCACAGACAAATTCAGGTGGAAGAATTATTCTCAGAAGTGTTTAGTGTATTAATATTTTTAACTGTACATTTTTAGCTAGTTAGAAATCATTCTAAATTTCAACTGAGGCCTGTGGGGTGTGTTTTATTTCTGGAGTGCTGCACTGAGAAGGGAGTGAAAGGAAGGCCTTGTGTTCCAGAGGCTGAAAGTTCTCTCACAGTGAAATTGAGCTGTGAGCTGAATGTCTAACCAGCATTCTCAGGGCTCTTGTGTGCAATCAGTGCTTTTTCACTTCCCCTGAGAGCAGCTATCCATGGGCAGGTTTCTGTGGCTTCAGGGACTTCTGGGGTGAGCAGGTCATTCTGCTTTTCAAATGTTTCCTTTGGAGCAGCAGTGGTGAGTCAGACTTGCCTCTTGCTGTCCCTGTGTGGCATTTGGAGTGGCTGCACTGCTTTGGAGCCAGGAGAGCTGGGACCCTTCAGTGTGTGAGTGACCCAGCACTTCCCTAGAGCTGCTCTGGGCTGGGAGACTTTGCTGGCTCCTGCTGGGTTTCACTGGGTAATGTTGGCCAGAGGAGTTCTGCTCGTGTACTTTCTGTTCCGATTGTGTATTTTGTGTCTTGTTTTTTTGTTGTTGTTGTGTCATATCTCCTGAAATACCTTCATAGCTGGTTCTGAAGTTGTCACCAAAGTGCCCGATAGTCCCCAGTGAAATGCAGCAGAATGAGGAGAGTGTGCTGAGAAAGCACAGCCACACCAGGAGAGCTGAGACCCTTCAGTGTGTGAGTGACCCAGCACTTCCCTAGAGCTGCTCTGGGCTGGGAGACTTTGCTGGCTCCTGCTGGGTTTCACTGGGTAATGTTGGCCAGAGGAGTTCTGCTCGTGTACTTTCTGTTCCGATTGTGTATTTTGTGTCTTGTTTTTTTGTTGTTGTTGTGTCATATCTCCTGAAATACCTTCATAGCTGGTTCTGAAGTTGTCACCAAAGTGCCTGATAGTCCCCAGTGAAATGCAGCAGAATGAGGAGAGTGTGCTGAGAAAGCACAGCCACATGAACCATCACTGGTTCCATTGCTTTCAGCTTCCCTCCCACAGCTCCCTCAGCGGTGCTGGAGCTCTGCTGGTGTGAGCTGAGGGCGACAGAAGGGTCAGATACTTGTGAAATCGATCGAGACGCTTTTTTTTCCTCCTTTCTCTGGCAGTAACTTGGAGTTGTTTTGCAATAAACTGCTACCAAATAACAATATTACTTTGTCTCCTTTCCCTCATTTTAGGTCATCTTTTCATGTTTGGATGTAGTGCTTCACACAGAGGCTTTGCTTTCCATCCTGAGTTTTCTGACCCTCAGTGTTCCATCAGGTGCACTTTCCAGTGCTGAGAAATCATCAGAGCACAGGCCTCAAATGAAGGGACCAGACAAAGGCAGTGCTGTCAGACCAGGTGATGTGGCACTAGGGGGGCTGTGCTCTTGTTGCTGAGCAGCACTCTCAGTTGCACTGGGCAGCATTTCAGATGACAGTGTTGCAGTCTGGGGGGGAAAGCAAAGCATGCACAGCTGTGGGTGGGGAGAGAACCATCTTGGTTAAAAAAAGGCTAGACAATTTTCCTGTGGCTTAATTTAATGGTGTTGCAGTGTGCAGCCTTTCCAAAGATTCAGGGGCACAGCCATGTTGCTCTCCAGTCTGAAGGCTCTAACAGTACTTAGATTGCTGGAAATGAATACTCTTCTGGGGAAGCCAAGAGAAGTTGTGAACTGAAGGGTTGTCTGTTTATCCTAACTCCTGGTGTTTGTAACCTTGAAATAGTTTGCACAGAAGCTCTTTAAGAATGTTTTCCCAGGTCCTGTGTGACTGATTCATGTTTGTATTGTTTCTGAAATTCAAGGTTTTGTAATCTTAAAACAATTGGGATTGAGTTTCCAGTGGCTGTGGCTGTTAGATTTGGTGTCCCTGCAGTGTTGCTGCAGAAACCTTTGTCAGCTAATTTGCCTCAGTTGGCCTTGGGGCTTGATAGAGACAGGAACATTTCTCACAGGAGTGTTTCACACAATGTAGTGTGCACTGTGTTCAGACATCACCTCGGTGGCTTTTTGCCTGTGTTAGGTGGTGACTTCATGTGCCAGAAGAGTTCTGTTTTGATAAAGGACTAATTTTACACCTTGACTAGCAATCATCATAACTTTCAGGGAATAACTGCAGGCTGCTCTCTGAATAGTTCAGACATGCACAGAACTAATGATCTAATCTTTGTTTTAAACAATGGACTCGCAATGAAGTTCTTGGATGTCTCTTGTGTTTCTCTCCAGTGCCTGGTGATGCAGCCCTTGATGAGATCTGTGAGTTGGAGCTCACTGCCAAGCTAAATTCATTCAGTATTCTGGTGTGTGATCAGACCTGTAGAATTGCAGACATCAGAATACAAGGTAAGGTGGTTGTTGTTAAAGTATTAGATGGAGCTGGTTGTAGCCAGAAATAGGTTGTTTCCCTCCATTTCAGTGTGTGCACTGCTCAGCACTGGCAGAAGCAGTAGAAGCTGATTCTAAGCTGTTATTTTTCTTTATATTCAGTAATAACAAATGCAGTTTAGTTTCTAAAAAAGTGTTCACTTATAAATTTGTTGAAGTGCTTTTATTATCTTCTGTCTTTTGTCTTGAATCAGGAATGGATGCATCCATAGCTGTGAGGCCTAAGGAGATCAAAGTGTTCTCCAGACTTGAGGACATTGTAATTACAAATGTTGATCCCAAAACAATCCACAAAAAGGTGATGTGCAGACTGTCAACAAAGGAAAAGCCCAGTTCTTTAGGGACATAATGGCAGCACTGTGGTTCATTTGTTGTTAGAGTACTAAGTATGATGCAACGTACCAAATACTAAGCAAAATTTTATTGGTTAATCTCCTTTACCTCAGGGAAGCAAAACATTCTCCCATTTAATATTTAGTTCTTTTCAATCATGTTTGCACTGATGTGTTACACTCTGAGTACCTTGGGCTAAAGATCAATGGGTATAGAGAAGCAAGTGGCAAGAGACACACTGAAGTAGGTGATTCTGTGTCCAGGTGCTGCTGGTGGGTTTGAGCTGTGGAAATATTTCTTGCTTGATAACTTAAGCAGTGATTCTATCAGATGAGTGCCTGGGAGTGTTAACTGTATGGACTTCTCCTTCTAGGCTGTCTCCATAATGGGAGATGAAGTGTTCAGGTTTCACGTGTCGCTGTACCCAGATGCCACTGCAGGGGAGGCCTACGCCGACATGTCAAGGGTGGATGGCAGGATGTCTCTCAAAGTGGGCTGCATCCAGATAGTTTACCTACATAAGTTCTTTATGTCTCTCTTGGTAAGACACTGCCTTGAATTCTTTTGTTGACATTCAAAGCTTTTTTGCCCTGTGCCTTGTGGTGTACAGAAGGATTTTGCTGAAGAAGGGTCACTGAAGTTGCACTGCTTTATGGAAGGACAAAAAATGTCACTTAAATTGCACTGCTTTATGGAAGGACAAAAAAGAAGGATGACAAATCAAGTTTTAATAGTATCTTATGTAGTGAAGCCATGTCTCAGCTAGTGTGTGATGTTAACCTTTGTGTCCCTTGGGCAATGTCTCAGCTAATGTGTGATGTTAACCTTTGTGTCCCTTGAGACCTGCCTAGTTGAGTTAGAAGTTTGATGTTTGTACCACAACTGTACTATTTTTTTAAGTTCACATTCTGCCTAGGGCTTGACTCCTTTTGAGATGCTTATTTGTTTTCATGGAACTCTCCCTTTTTTCCCCCCTACCTTCCAACAGAACTTCTTAAACAACTTCCAGAGGGCCCAGGAAGCCCTGACTGCAGTAACTGTGCAGGCAGCAGAGAGAGCTGCTTCCAGCATGAAGGACTTTGCCAAGAAGAGCTTCCGCCTCTTGATGGATGTCAACTTGAAAGCTCCAGTGATAGTTATTCCCGAATCTTCAGCTTCACACAATGCTTTGATAGCTGACCTTGGCTTAATCAGAGTTCAGAATGAATTCAAGCTGGTGTCTTCAGATGGATCTTCTCTTCCTCCAGTTCTTGACCACATGGATGTGCAGCTAACTCATTTGAAATTATCAAGGTATGCTTGGAGCTCTTTGCTGGGTTGGAGTGTGTTGGTACAGAAAGTGTGTCCATGTTCCCTGGGCAGCAATTTCCTGATACTTAAAGATGGTAGACAATGGAGACATCCTAAAACCAACTGAAAACCTGCCCAAGTTAAGTGTAGGAGTGCTGTTAGAGAGAGACACCTCTACAGTCCCTAAAGCATCTTGGGAAAAAAGGACTGATAGGGCAGTAACTGAGTTCATCTGGAGTGCACACTTGGGCGTATTGAATTGATAATTATTTCGCTAATTCTGCAGGACTACTATGATATTATTTGGATTTCTGCAACTACTGAATTTTTCCTCTGCTTCTTCCCCTGTCTTTTGTTAGGTGCATCATATCTGCAGATGCTCAACCAGATTCTGAAATTCTCCGTCCCGTGAGTTTGACTTTATTGGTCCAGAGGAATTTAGCAGCAGCGTGGTATCATAAATGTCCAACAATTGGTGTCAAGGGAGACCTGAAACCAATGCAGGTAATACCATGACAAATCTGAGCTCTACTAAGTCACGTGTGTGCTCAGAATAGTCCTTAGCTTAGTTAAGGACCTCGTAAGCTCCTTTCAGTTTGTGTCCCTTACAGAGTGTTGGAACACTTTCAGCTTGGTGGTGCAGTGTACAGCTCTTTGGGAATTTTCATCTTGTATGATGAATAGTTTTGGTGTAGCTACACACCAGTGCAATAAAACCTAGTTGGATTTTTCTGGAGGTCTGTTGGAGCTCTCCTTTGACACAACCTCATGAGGATTTAAATGGGTAAAACCGAATTGGGTCACATTTTAGCTGTTCCTGAGCCCTGTTTCATTCCTGTCTGCTGTGGCAAAATGTAGCCGTGGTCAAGCACAGAGATTTAACAGGTTTAAAGATTTACCAGCAGAAATAACCAAATGTGGAAATAAAATGCTACAGAATTTTGTCACTTTATTGCTGCTGATTTTTTTTTTCACAATTCTGTAGTGTTATGATTGGATTCATGCTCATTAACTCTTTGCAGACCCAATGATTGGCAGTTCCTTCAGTGTACACAATGCACATCTTGGCCTTGTTATCTGGGCATGTTTTT